TCCCTCAAAAGGCAGTTTGTTTTGTGTTGGTCCACATAAAAGCACATAGCCAGGAGGGATACAGGCCCACCACAGGATGCTGGTGTTGAACTACCTGTTTAAGAGAAATTTTCACTGAGTTGGAATTATATGTAGGGGATAGAGTTCCTCTCTTAATGACAGGATTTCTTGGCTGAACTCGGGGCTCTGTGTGCCTTTGGAGGAAAATATAGAACGCTCCAAGTTATTAGCTCTTTTCTTTCCCACCCCATCATATTTGGGGTGACTTGTCTTGATTGCCATTCATTTGTGTATGGACAGCTGGAGAACAATGAGTCAAGTTAGGGTGGGAACCTGTTGAGGAAATACTCATGGGATGAATAGTGGGAGTGGGGAATCCCCCACAAAGATGACGTTCCAGTCACAGTGTCCTGGAGGGCACAGACAACAGATCTGGTTTAGAGAAGCACATATGAACATAGACACGAAAGTTTCATAGCTTTGATTCAAAGGTGGAGTGAGATCCAGAAGAGGGACTTGGTACACTCAGTTAGCAAGTGAATAGAGTAGAACAGATTTCTGTTGGCTTTCAGGAATTTCTGAACCTAATGTTAGGTTTAAAGCAAGACTTCTCAACAAAATATATTGGTAAGATGAGGATCTGGTGATGGAGTCATGACAAATCCAACAATTGGTTAGATGGTTTCCCAAAGCAATGATTTTGGAGAAACTGACAAGGTAATTTTCACTCCATTGTGCTTGTGGGAGTAGGGGCATGGGAAGGAGGTAAAGATAAAGGAAAAGGTATTTCCCTGGTATAGCCAGTTCTCCCTTAAGTTTTCTGAAAGAAGAAGGAAAGTGGTGAAATAGGAGGTAAAATAATTAAATGGTTAGATGGAGGGTTTAGTGATGAAACAGGCTGTTATCAGGACTGCAGGTGGCATGCAAGTTAGGGCCAAAATGAGGGGAATAACCAATGCCACTGCAACCAAGATTCCCAGTACTGAGGCGACCTTCCTGTTGGGTGAAAGGAGAGAAGGCTTTACTTATCTTTTCACTTGAGGAGGAATTTTAAGGCCTCTGATGGCTCACAAGAATGCTCAGGTGCTGATTCTGTTGTTGGTTCTTTAGGACCTTGCCACAGTTTTACTCGGGACTGATGTATCCTACTAGAGATGCCAGAAACATTGATAGCTGTTGGGGTGGAAAGTAAGACAGTAAAGGGGCCTTTCCATAGGGAAGTTAGTTGAGACCTAGGTGACCCATCTTTCCAGGTTTTCATGAGGACTTGTGACTATAGTTGGCTTTTTACCTTATAACGGGAGTGATGGGATTTTGTATCCTCAGGAAGGGGAGGTATAGTAGTAGGACTGAGGATGTGATATCTCTGAATGGTGATTTTGGATTGGCTAGCAGAAGATCTTGGTCTTTTGAAAGTTGGCTGCCCATCAGCCAATGTGAGCCTTTTCATTCTAGCACAGTGGCTATCTGATATGAGGTAGGATCTCAATGATTTGGCCCATTGTGATTTTGCAACCCGCTTCTACTGAGAGTGGTGGCAGCTATTGCCTTAAGGCAAATAGGCCATCTTTAGACCACAATCAAGCCTTCGAGAGACATAGCCCACCGGGTACCTTGTGGGACCCAGAGTCTGTATTAAAACTCCCATTGCTACCCTTCTATTTTCAGTTCGTAAAGTTGGAAGTGTCTGTCTACTTGGGCAGCCCTAGAGCTGGGGCTTGCAGAGACTAATTTTAAGTTGGTTAAATGCCTGATCTTGTGAGGGTACCCATGATAAGTGTTCTTCATCATTCCCTCCTTTGTGAGATTCATAAGGGAGCTTAACCATTTCTTCATATTCCAAAATCCAAAGTCTATAATCTTCTGTTAGCCCCAGGAAAGTTCTAAGTTCCATTTGAGTGCTAGGGTGAGATATTTGTTGAATGATTTGTATTTTCTCAGGTGAGAGCCTGAGTTTTCCTGTAGTAAGAATGAGACCTAAACAGAAGACCTGTTGTTGGCTTAATTGGGCCTTCTGTTTGGAAGCTGTGTATCCTCTTTTAGCTAGGAAGTTGAAAGTCCGGACTGGGCACGGTGGTTCACACCTGTAGTCTTAGCTCTGGTAGATCACTTAGGTCAGAAGTTTGAGACTAGCCTGGCAAACATGGTGAAACACCATCTCTACTAAAAATACAAAAATTAGCCAAGCATAGTGGCACATGTCTGTAATCCCAGCTACTCAGGAAGTTGAGGCAGGAGAACCCAGGAGGCAGAGGTTGAAGTAAGCAAAGGTCACATCACTGCACTCCAGACTAGATGACAGAGCAAGATTCACCTCAAAAAAAAAAAAACAAAAAAAAAAAACCAGGAAGTTGAAAGGCTGTACTGTGTGTCATTGTGCCCATTATTTTGAGGGGGAGCAGATGAGTAGATGGTTGACATATTGTAAATGTGGGCACCCCTCCAGAGACTCTGAGCTCAGTTGGCCAGGCGGGGTACCTCATGCTTGTAATCCCAGCACTTTGGGAGACTGAGGCAGGCAGATCACGAGGTCAGCAGGCTGAGACCATCCTGGCTAACACGGTAAAACCCCATCTCTACTAAAAATATAAAAAATTAGTTGGGTGTGGAGGCGTATGCCTGTAGTTCCAGCTACTCAAGAGGCTGAGGCAGCAGAATCGCTTGAACCCAGGAGGCGGAGGTTGCAGTGAACTGAGATTGTGGCACTGAACTCCAGCCTGATGACAGAGTGAGATGCTATCTCAAAAAAGAAAGAGAGAGAGAGCTCAGTGTAGTCTTAGCTAGAGCTTGCTCAAACAAATGTCGTCTCTCTAAACCTCAGAAGCAGGACCATCCAAGACAGCTGGCAGTTTAACCTTTTGTCATCTAGTCATTCAAAGGTAGTAAGTAAAAATGAGAATCAGCGTCCAGAGGCATGCAGAAAAATAATCTTTGAGATCTAGGACTCTGTAAATCCTATTAAGTTGTGGGCCTATCCCCCAGAATTATGTAGGGGTTTGGGATGACTGAATGAATAGGTATGACAGCTTTGTTTATGGTTTTAAGTCTTAGACAAGCCGGCTCTCCCCACTGCCCTTCTGGACAGCCAGGATGGGCGTGTTGTAGGGAGAGTTACAGATGTCAACCGGCTACTCCTGAGGAATCAGTTAATAATAGACTGAGGTCCTTCCTCAGCCTCTTGCCTTAGGGGGTGTTATATTTTATGAGGGAAGTGGAAGGGACTGCAGTTGCTCCCCTTCCAGGCCTGTCAGAGGCCCACATCTTGGGACTTATTTGTGATTCCAGCTGAAGATCGTTCACCAACATCATGGGTGATCCTTTCAAGGAAAGAAGGGCCTGGCCAGGCACGGTGGCTCACGCCTATAATCCCAGCTCTTTGGGAGGCTAAGGTGGGTGGATCACGAGGTCAAGAGGTCGAGACTATCCTGGTCTACATGGTGAAACCCTGTCTCTACTAAAAATACAAAAATTAGCTGGGCATGGTGGCACACACCTGTAGTCCCAGCTACTCGGGAGGCTGAGGCAAGAGAATTGCTTGAACCCAGGAGGCAGAGGTTGCAGTGAGCTGAGATCGCACCATTGCACTCCAGCCTGGGTAGCAAGAGCGAAACTCTGTCTCAAAAAAAAAAAATAGAAGGGCCTTCAAAAGGAAGCCATGTACCTAGAGTTCAGGTAAATGTGAAATATGTCCTGGTTTGGAAAGCATGTACCTGTCAAAGAGGGGGATGGGAACCAGATAGTTCCCTGGGAGGGTATTCTTAGGGCAGCATGGAAGGAACATTCAAATATTACCAGGAACTCATGGGAAAAGAGTAATTAGTACCACAGATGACACAAAGTGGGTATAAATCTTCTGAGGTGGGGATGCCATTCACCCCAATTACCTGACAGGATGCGGAGGAAAGTTGCCCAGAGAAGAAGGTCACCCTGAGCAGGCGGCTCCCGAATCAAATAGAAAATGTATTGTCCTACCTGCTACGTCCAATCTTGGCTCCATTCCTTTGATGATGATGTCACATCTGGGAGCCAGCCAGAGAAGAGGGCTCTTCTAGCTCAAACGATATTGAATTAGGTTCTGGCTCAGAAGCCTGGTGGCTCTCAGGACAGTTCCCTTTCCAGTAGCTGAGCTTACGACAGAGAGGACAGGCCGTGTAGGGCTTTTCCCCCTTTGGTGCGTAGGGGCAGTTTGCCTTCCCGTGGCCCGGCTCCCCACACTGGTGGCACTTCCCTGGGAGGGCATTCTTAGGGCAACCTGGAGGGGGCTGGTGGACTTGGAAAGCGGCTAATAACTGAGACTGCCTCTTCTCTTTCTGTGTCTCCTTCTTCTTGGCCCTGTCCCTCTCATCCTGGCCCCGGCTATAAAACACCGAGGAAGCTAATTTGAGGATTTCCGACATGGGGGCACTGGGTCCCAGAGCCAGCCTTCGCAGTTTTCTCCTAATGTCGGGGGCAGCTTGTGTCAGGAAGTGATCCTTGAGGACCAGCTGTCCTTCTGGGGATCCCGGGTCTAGGTTGGTGTGTCTGATAAGAATTTCCTGGAGCCTTTCGAGAAAGGCTGCGGGGTTCTCATCTGGCCCTTGGTCGATGGTTGCTAACTTATTATAATTTACAGGCTTGACTTGACTCCTTTTCATTCCCTCTATTAGGCACAGGAGCATGTGGTTTCTGGCGCAGATTCCTGCCTGGGAGTTGTAGTCCCAGTTGGGGTCCTGCAGGGGAACAGCCGTAGCTCCCACGGGGTAGTTGGCATCTGCCAAGTGTAGCTCATCCCCGCACTGACGGGCCGCCTCCCAAATGGTCTGTCTTTCTTCCAGAGGGAGGGTTTGTCCTAGGAGGATGGTGACATCCTTCCAGGTTAGTTCAAAAGTGCGGGTTAATTTACGGAAGCCCTCGGTGAATTTTCCCGGGTTCTCCGAGAATTTTCCCAGGCCTTCCTTAACTTGGGTCAAGTTCTGCAACAGAAAGGGGCCTCGAACCGGGACTGGTCCTGTGGATCTGCTCACCGTTGGTAGTGGGCAGGTTCCAGAGCAGGGGCCTGAGGGACCAGCGTAGGTTAGGGCTGACCTGTGAAGGCTAAGAGAAGGACATAAGGAGGAAGGAGCTGGGGGTGCCTGTTCTTCCTCTTTGGTCTCAGGAAGAGGAGGTTGAGGTGAGTTGACCAGGAAATCTTTGAAGTTTCCTGGTTGAGAGTTCTGGAGTGGACAACTGAAAATAGGGAAGAGGGTGGGATTTGTTTCACAGCCTTTAGAAAAATTGGGATTTTCCCTCAAGGTCATGAAGGTTTTCACATAAGGGACCTCTGACCATTTGCGGTGGCACCGGCAGTAGAGGTCGAGCTGGAGTATGGTATTCATATTTAAGCTCCCCCACACTGGCCAGGCTTCCTGCCCTTCTAGGTTATATTTTGGCCAAACTTTATTGCAAAGGAAAATCAGTCTTTTTTGTTTTACAGTGTGGAGATCAAACTTATCCCAGTTTTGAAGGATGCATCCAAGAGGGGAATCCCAGGGTACAGAGATCTTGTTACCCATCTGAAAGAGAAGACAGGTGAGAATGCAGGATAGAGAGGCATCCCTCCACCTACTCAGTGCCTAATGGAGATGAGGCATCTCACACATTGACCTAGGTGAGGGGGTCCACGCCTTTGCCTGTGAGGGTGAAGCATTCCTCCCCTTGTGGCTCCAGAATCCACAAGTCCTACTGTGTGTACCACACTTTCTGTCCCTGCCTCTTTTTTTTTTGAGATGAAGTCTTGCTCTTTCACCCAGGCTGGAGTGCAATGGCGCAATCTTGGCTCACTGCAACCTCTGCCTCATGGGTTCAAGCCATTCTCCTGCCTCAGCCTCCCAAGTAGCTGGGACCACAGGTGTGCACAACCACACCTGGCTAATTTTTGTATTTTTAGTAGAGAGGGGGTTTCATCATGTTGGCCAGGCTGATCTCGAACTCCTGACCTCAGGTGATCTGCCCACCTTGGCTTCCCAAAATGTTTGGATCACAGGTGTAAGCCATCATGCCCAGCCCCTCTGCTTCTTTTTTGCTCAGAAGAGTTTCTTAGATTTCCTAGGATTAATGCCTAGCAGGAACAACTCTCTCACCTCTGTTCAGCAAAGAAGGGTGGAGGAATGTTTGGCATGGGAGCAATTCTGTTGTCTCTCCTATTCCCAGTGACCTTGTTTCTGCAAGAAGCTCAGTAGTCATGCCCCTGCTAGTGTCCACAGAGAAGGGACACCATAATAAGGTCCCCTTAATGCGTAAACATATTGGGCTAATAGGTACTAATGAGTAGAGTAATGGAGGAAAATGTGATATCTTCTTCCACTCCTAAAAGATTCCTGGAGGATGCCGGGCATGGTGGCTCATGCCTGTAATCCCAGCACTTTGGGAGGCTGAGGTGGGCGGATCACCTGAGGTCAGGAGTTAGAGACCAGACTGATCAATATAGTGAAACCCCGTCTTTAAATAATAATAATAAAATTTAAAAAATCAAAAAATCAAAAGATTCCTGGAGGATCATACAGCAAAAATACTTTAGACCAGGAGCAGTGGCTCACGCTTGTAATCCCAGCACTTTGGAAGGCTAAGGTGGGCAGATCACTTGAGGTTAGGAGTTTGAGGCCAGCCTAGCCAACATGGTGAAATGCTGTCTCTGCTAAAAATGCAAAAGATTAAAGGCTGGGTATGGTGACTCGGGCCTGTAATACCAGCTACTTAGGAAGCTGAGGCAGGAGAATCGCTTGAACCCAAAAGGTGGAGGTCGCAGTGAGCCGAGATTGCACCACTGCACAATAGCATGGGTGACACAGCCAGACTCAGGCTCGGAAAAAAAAATTAGGGCCGGGAGCAGTGGCTCATGCCTGTAATCCCAGCACTTTGGGAGGCTAAGGTGGGAGGATTACCTGAGGTTAGGAGTTCGGGACCAGCCTGGCCAACATGCTGAAACCCCAGGTGACAATGAGACTCTGTCTCAAAAAAAAAAAAAAAATTAGCAGAGCATGGTGGCGCATGCCTATAATCCCAGCTACTGGGGAAGCTGAGGCAGGAGAATCCCTTGAACCCAGGAGGCAGAGATTGCAGCGAGCCAAGATTGTGCCATTACGCTCTAGCCTGGGTTACAAGAGCGAGACTCCATCTCAAAAGAAAACAAAACAACAAAAAAAACCAGTATGAATTTCACCACAGGCCCGCAAAGGCCTCTGGTGCCTGGCAGTGAAACAAGCACAGCAGATCCAGACAAGCAGGATGTACAGGGTCTTGCACATGAAGAAGGAATTCAGGGAAGCCTGGGGGCAAGGACAGGGACAGCAAAGAGTAAGCAGAGTGACCTGGGGCATTATTCACTGGTGGCATCATATTGTATCCAGGGGAATGAACTATATCACAGCAAGTATAAGAGCCTTAACACGTGATAGTAGTTCTAGTTGAAAGATACGAAGCTCCCAGTCATTGCACAGCTGGGCAGGATTTTCTGCCACCTTCACAAGCCTCCTGCAGGGAAGGTCACCGTTTCTGTGATCTACTCATGTGGACTTTAAAGTCCTCCCTCTGGTGGAGCCTGGTGGCTCACACCTATAATCCCAGCACTTTGGGAGGTCAAGGCAGGTGGATCACCTGAGGTTGGGAGTTCAAGACCAGCCTGACCAACATGGAGAAACCCTGTCTCCACTAAAAATACAAAAAATTAGCTAGGTGTGATGGTGCACGCCTATAATTCTAGCCACTTGGGAGGCTGAGGCAGGAGAATCACTTGAACCAGAGAGGCGGAGCTTGCAGTGAGCTGAGATTGCACCACTGCGCTCCAGCCTGGGTGACAGTGCAAGACTCAGTCTCAAAAAAAAAAAAAAGAAAAATCCTCTCTCCTCTGCTTGTCACCCCTCAGGGTGAGCTGAGAAATCAGCCAAAGGGAACAGAGACGCAGTGGCTGAAGGGAGATGGTACTGGGCACTTGTTAGTAAACACGGCGTGAGAGGAAAAACCCCTCCCCTTAAAGCTGGAAGAAGCAGCTCGTAATCCCAGTACTTTGGAAGGTTGAGGCAGGTGGATCACTTGAGGTCTGGAGATCGAGACCAGCAAGGCCAACATGGTGAAATCCCTTCTCTACTAAAAATACAAAAATTAGCCGGGCATGGTGGGGCACCCCTGTAATCCCAGCTACTCGGGAGGCTGAGGCTAGAGAAACACTTGAACCCAAGAGGTGGAGGTTACTGTGAGCCAAGATCATGCCACTGCACTCCAGTGTGGGTGACAGAGCCAGACTGTCTCAAAAAAAAAAAAAAAAAAAAATAGCTGCAAGAACTGCTGCATTTGAGCAGGAGGTTCTTCAGTGCAGAAAGAGGCAGAGAAAGAAGCAGAGGTCATTGCCCAGGTAATCTGGCACCGCCGTTTTGGCACTTACCTGGGAGAACAGTTCACAGGCCAGGTAACCAGCTGAAAACACTGGATGTTAGCAGGAGGGGTGTGGAAGTCCTCTGGGTTGTAGTCTTCTTGAATTCAGTCAAGAGACACGCAGAAAGAGTTAAAGCGGTAAGTGCTCTTTATTTAAAGAGACAGGAGCTCAGAAAGAAGTGATGCTTTGAAGGAAGAAACAGGAAGGGCTCCTGAAAAGAAGTCCATCCCTGCTGATAATGGGCAGAGCCTTTTTATGAAAATCTGACATGATTATTCATGAAGGGGCTGTGGAGGAGCCTTCCTAGTAAGCCAGCTCACGGAAGTCCCCTGGGCAGGAATGTGCTGTGACTGTCCATGCTGGTACACACGTAACATGTCTCATTAACACCTCAAGAATCCATTTACGGGTGTGCGTGTGTGTGGATTTTTCCTAGGGTAATATTTGAGAAAAAGGAAATATGTTTTTATTTTAGTTTAATTTTTTTTTTTTTTTTTTGAGACTGAGTCTCACTTTGTCACCCAGGCTGTGTGCAGTGATGTGATCTCAGCTCACTGCAACCTCCATCTTCTGGGTTCCAATGATTCTCCTGCCTCAGCCTCCAAAGTAGCTGGGACTACAAGCATCTGCCACCACACCCGGCTAATTTGTGTATTTTTAGTAGAGACAGAGTTCCACCATGTTGGTCAGGCTGGTCTCGAATTCCAGACCTCAAGTGATCCATCCACCTCGGCCTCCCAAAGTAGTGAGATTACAGACTTGAGCCATCAAGTTCTGTCTTATTTTTATTTACTTACTTTTTATTTTATTTATATTTTTCAAACAAAACAGAACATGCTTTGTGTTTTTTATTTTATTTTTTGAGAGTTTCGCTCTTTCTCCCAGGTTGGAGCGAGGTGGCGTGATCTCAGCTCACTGCAACCTCTGCCCTTCAGGATCAAGTGATCCTCCAGCCTCAGCCTCTGGAGTACCTGGGATTATAGGCACCCGCCACCACGCCCGGCTAATTTTTGTATTTTTGTTAGAGATGAGGTTTCACCATGCTGGCCAGGCTAGTCTCGAACTCTTGACCCACCTCGGCCTCCCAAAGTGCTAGGATTACAGGCGTGAGCCACTGCACTCGACCTGTTTTTTAGTATGATAATCATCAAAAGGCTATTCTAAGGGAAATTATTAGAGAAGCACACGTGCACATTACTAGGGAAAATTCTCTACCTCCGCTATCTCTGGCTAGGGCCTGATACGTCCCCTTCTAGGCCAGATTAGCCCAGCCACAAGGCCAGGTGTAGGGTATACAGACACAACCCACTGTCTTTTTTGCTTACTGTCAATGGGCAGCATCTTCAAGGAGGCCATCAGTGGGCTGTGTTTCTAAAGATTCCTTTCCCAGGCACTCCCTCACCTGCTCATGCCTGGCTACCTGTGTACGCCAACATTTCAGCTGGTTTGTGGACACAATGACTTTTGAAATAGTATGTAGGCTGGGCACAGTGGCTCACACCTGTAATCCCAGCACTTTGGGAGGCTGAGGCTGGAGGATCACTTGAGGTCAGGAGTTCCAGACCAGCCTGACCAACATGGTGAGACCCCGTCTCTACTAAAAATATACAATTAGACAGGCATAGTGGTGCACACCTGTAATCCCAACTACTTGGGAGACTTAGGAGAATCGCTTGAACCTGGGAGGCAGAGGTTGCAGTGAGCTGAGATCTCACCATTGCACTCCAGCCTGGACAAAAAGAGCAAAACTCCATCTCAATAAATAAATAAATAAATATCTAATTTATCCACCTCTGTATGTTTTCATCATAACCAATCTGAAGGCAAAGTTACCTACAGCTTTTCCTCCCAGCTTGCAGAAAACAACATAACTTTCTTTACCTTAATAAAGTTTATTCTCGGGCCGGGCGCGGTGGCTCAAGCCTGTAATCCCAGCACTTTGGGAGGCCGAGGCGGGTGGATCACGAGGTCAAGAGATCGAGACCATCCTGGTCAACATGGTGAAACCCCGTCTCTACTAAAACTACAAAAAATTAGCTGGGCGTGGTGGTGCGTGCCTGTAATCCCAGCTACTCAGGAGGCTGAGGCAGGAGAATTGCCTGAACCCAGGAGGCGGAGGTTGCGGTGAGCCGAGATCGCGCCATTGCACTCCAGCCTGGGTAACAAGAGCGAAAACTCCGTCTCAAAAAAAAAAAAAAAAAAAAGGAAATAAAGTTTATTCTCTGCTGGGGATCGTGGTTCACACCTGTAATCCTAGCACTTTGAGAGGTCAGGATGGGTGGATCACTTGAGCTCAGGAGTTTGAGACCTGTCTGGGCAACATGGTGAAACCCTGTCTTTATGAACAATACAACAATTAGCCGGGTATGGTGGCATGTGCCTGCAGTCCCAGCAACTGGAGAGGCTAAGGTGGATCACTACAGCTTAGGAGGAGGAGGTTGCAGTGAGCCGTGATTATACAACTGTTTGAGACCAGCCTGACCAACTTGGTGAAGCCCTGTCTCTACTAAAAATATAAAAATGAGCTGGGTGTGGTGGCGTGTGCCTGTAATTCCAAATACTCAGGAGTCAGAGGCAGGAGATTCACTTGAACCCGGGAGGTGGAAGTTTCAGTGAGCCGAGACTGAGCCATTGCACTCCAGCCTGGGAAATGAGCAAAACTCATCTCAAAACAAACAACAAACAAAACTAATGAAAGGCAATGAGGGCCAGGTGTGGTGGCTCAGGCCTGTAATCCTAGTACTTTGGGAAGCTGAGACAGGTGGATCATTTGAGGTCAGGAGTTTGAGACGATCCTGGCCAACATGGTGAAACCCAGTCTCTACTAAAAATACAAAAAATTAGGTGGGCATGGTGGTGGGCAGCTGTAATCCTACCTACTCAGGAGGCTGAGGCAGGAGAATCACTCAAACCCGAAAGGCAGAGGTTGTAGTGAGCCGAGATCAATCCACTGCACTCCAGCCAAGGCAACAGAGGGAGATTGCATTTCAAAAAAAAAAAAAACAAACAAAAAGGCAACAAGATTAAGATGATAGAAGGTACCTGAATTCTGCTAAAATGTAGGCATAAACAATAGCCATTATCATGGGGATCAGAAGATTTGTAATTTCCCCAATTGCTCCTATAGATAGCATAATTATTGTCAAAACCTAAGATTCATCTTTGAAGTATTTTTCAGACATTTCCAATTGGGCAGAGTAGCTCAGGCCACCTGGGCCTCCTCTTCACTGGTACCAGAGAACTGGCACCAACAAGTCCTGTGATCCCTATCCAGAAACTGACTCAGCTCAGGAAGGCTGTTTCGGACACTCCTATGATTTCCTCTCCAACCAATCAGCTGCACCAATTGCCTAGTCCCTTGCTCTCTATATTATCCTCACAAACTCTGGTCTCCAGCTTTTCCAAAGACAGATTTTCGAATTAACTTCTCCCTCTCCCACCAGTTTGACCTGGCTAGCCCTGCGATTATTAAACTTATTGCAGCAAAACCCCACTGTTTTCAGTGCTCTGGCTCTTCTGAACAGAGGCAAGGTGAATCCGGATGCCGACAGACCTAGCTTCCCACGCCTTGCACCCCAGGTGTTGTCCCTATGAAAGTCTCTGGAGGCTGGGCAAGGTGGCTCACGCCTGTAATTCCAGCACTTTGGGATGCCAAAGCAGGTGGATCACGTGGTCAGGAGTTCAAGACCAGCCTGGCCAAGATGGTGAAACCCTGTTTCTACTAAAAATACAAAAATTAGCCAGGCTTGACGGCAGGAGCCTGTAACCCCAGCTACTCTGGAAGCTAAAGCAGGAGAATTGCTTGAACCAGGGTGTCAGAGGTTGCAGTGAGCCGAGCTCAAGCCACTGCACTCCAGCCTGGGCAATAAAGTGAGACTGTCTCCAAAAAAAAAAAGTGTATGGAAATGAGTACAGGGTTGATTCTGGAGTGAATGGAGACTAGAAGATAAAACGATTTCTATTTTGTTCTGTGGAGCTTCAGCATGTAATTGCACCATCACGCCATGCAGAATTTTCATTTCACATTCCAGTTTACATTCCGTTCACAGACAATTCTAGGGCTTTTTTTTTTTTTTTTTTAGACAGAGTTTCGCTCTTGTTACCCAGGCTGGAGTGCAATGGCGCCATCTCGGCTCACTGCAACCTCTGCCTCCTCGGTTCAAGCAATTCTCCTGCCTCAGCCTCCTGAGTAGCTGGGACTACAGGCACGCGCCACCATGCCCTGCTAATTTTTTGTAGTTTTAGTAGAGACGGGGTTTCACCATGTTGACCAGGATGGTCTCGATCTCTTGACCTCGTGATCCACCCGCCTCGGCCTCCCAAAGTGCTGGGATTACAGGCTTGAGCCACCACGCCCGGCCAATTCTAGGGCTTTTAAATTCTAGGGCTTTTAAATTAAAATTGCTAAGGTTAATTTCGATAGCAGGAATTTTTCTGGATCCAATCACCAACAGTTTGCTCTGCCCCAGGGAGAGCCTGGTGAGTTGCTTCGGCCTCACCAGTAAATGACGATCCCTAAACCGGCAAAATAGAGATGCCCAGGAAGCCAGAAGAGGAAAGCACAGGCCCCGCCCTTCCGATCAGCCCCCGCCCCCTCCCTTTCTCCCTCCCCAGTTGGCCCCTTGCTGGCTGGACTCGCCCAACCCTGGCTCCCGCCCTGTGCCACGCAGTCTCCTGCGGACCCGGAAGCAGATCGCCGGAATCAAAGTTGCTCCACCACGTGTGAGTTTCCCTCTGTCTACATTAACATTAAATTTGGGGTCTGGGCGCTGTGGCTCACATCTATAATCCCAGCATTTCGGGAGGCGAAGGTGAGCGGATCACTTGAGGTCAGGAGTTCAAGACCAGCCTGGTCAACAGGGCGAAACCCGTTGCTTTTAAAAATACAAAAATGCTCCGGGCGTGATGGCCTGCGCTTTTAATCCAGCTACTCGGGAGGCTGAGGCAGGAGAATCACTTGAACCCGGGCGGCGGCGGTTGCAGTGAGCCTAAATTTCACCCCTACGCTGCAGCCTGGGCGACAGCGGGAGTTTGTCTGAAAAAAAAAAAAAAAAGTAGAGAAGAGGCCGACCTCAAAGAAATGGACAGCATGATAGGGAGCGGGGCAGCAAAGGCGGAGGCGCCCCAGAGTCGGAGAGAAGGAGTGATTTCGAGCCAGGGCAGACAGAGCAGCGAGGTGCTGGGACAGCAAGAATGGGCATTCATGACAAAGAGCAGAGAGAACCACGGCAGGGTTCTTGGGATTATGGATTCAAATTCATTAAAAGGCATAGGCCTGTTCAGATTGTCTGTTTCTTTTTGAGTGAGTTTTGGTGCAGGAACAACTGAAAATCCAAATGGAAAAAAAAAAATCCGGACAAAGACCTCACTTTTTTTTTTTTTCTTTTCGAGAAGGAGTCTTGCTCTGTTGCCCAGGCTGGAGTACAATGGCGCGATCTCAGCTCGCTGCAACCTCCGCCTCCGGGTCAAGTGATTCTCCTGCCTCAGCCTGAGTATCTGAGATTACAAGCGCGTTCCACCACACCAGGCTAATAGACCTCTCATTTTGTACATAAATTAACTCAGAATGGATCATAGACCTCAGGGATCTGAGGGTGCTAGAGACTGAGGATAAGCGGGTGTAAACAGGGAAGAGGGATTTTTTTTTAAATTTATTATTATTTTTTTTTGAGACGGAGTTTCGCTTTTGTTACCCAGGCTGGAGTGCAATGGCGCAATCTCGGCTCACCGCAACCTCCGCCTCCTGGGTTCAGGCAATTCTCCTGCCTCAGCCTCCTGAGTAGCTGGGATTACAGGCACGCGCCACCATGCCCAGCTAATGCTTTTTGTATTTTTAGTAGAGACGGGGTTTCACTGTGTTGACCAGGATGGTCTCGATCTCTTGACCTCGTGATCCACCCGCCTTGGCCTCCCAAAGTGCTGCGATTACAGGCGTGAGCCACCGCAACAGGCTTTTTTTTTTTTTTTTTTAAGTCTTTCTCTGTTGCCACGCTGGAGTGCGGTTAGGTGATCTCCGCTCGCTGCAGCCTCCGCCTTCCCGGTTCAAGCGATTCTCCTGCCTCAGCCTCCCGAATAGCTGGGATTGCAGGCATGCATCACCACACCAGGCTAATTTTGTATCTTTAGTAGAGATGGGGTTTCTCCTTGTTGGTCAGGGTGGTCTGGAACTCCCGACCTCAGGTGATCTGCCTGCCTCGGCCTCCCAAAGTGCTGGGGATTACAGGCATGAGCCACCGCGCCTGGCCTAATTTGTGATTTTTTTTTTTCTTTTTTCTTTTTTCTTTTGTTTGTAGAGACAGAGCCTTGTTATGTTTCCCAGGCTGGTCTCAAACTGCTGTTTTCAAGTGATTCTTCAACCTTAGCTTCCCAAAGCACTTGGATTACAGGTGTGAGCCACCATGCCCAGCTTAATTTTTATTACTTTTACTAAATGAGTGTTTGTGAAATCAAATGAAGTGATTCCAATCACTTTGTTCTTTTTTTTTTTTTTTTTGAGATTGAGTCTTGCTCTTGTTGCCCAGGGTGGAGTGCAGTGGTGTGATCTCAGCTCACTGCAATCTCCACCTCCCAGTTTCAAGCGATTCTCCTGCCTCAGCCTCCCAATTACCTAGGATTACAGGCATGTGCTACCACACCCAGCTAATTTTTTGTATTTTTAGTAGAGACGGGCTTTCACTATGTTGGCTAGGCTGGTCTGGAACTCCTGACCTTAGGCGATCCACCTGCCTCAGCCTCCCAAAATGCTGGAATTACAGGCCCGAGCCACTGTGCCCGGCTCTTCTTTTTTTTTTTTTCCCAGATGATTTAGCTGCCGAATCTCTTGCCTTTCCATAGAATTTTTAGAATAATCTTTGTATCTACAAAATATTCTAATAGAGAATGCATTAATTCCCTGTGCATCAATTTGGGGGGTGGGAAATTTCACAGTATTTCTATGTTGAATCTTTTAATAAATATGTGTCTCTATTTGTTTAGGTGGTTCTTTGATTTCTTTTGTTTTGTTTTGTTGTTTTGAGACCTCTGCTGCCTGGGTTCATGCGATCCCGCTGCCTCAGCCTCCCGAGTAGTTGGGAGGCACAGACACCTGCCACTGCGCCTGGCTAATTTTTGTAGTTTTAGTGGAGATGGGGTTTCACCATCTTGGCCAAGTTGGTCTTGAACTCCTGGACTTGTGATTCACCTGCCTTGGCCTCCCAAAGTGCTGGGATTACAGGCATGAGCCACTGTGTCCAGCTCTTTGATTTCTTTCATCAGCATTTTGTTTTTACTTTTCAGCGTAAAGGTCTAGTGAATGTTTTGGTAGATTAACACATTTTCTCTACTTTTACTTTTTTGAGTAATTCTACATGTTATTGTGTTTTTAATTTCAATTTCTATATGTTAATTATTGGTATATAGAAATAACAGTACATTTAAAATTTTTTTAAGCTTTTTAAATTTCAATTTAATTTTATTTTATTTTTGAGACGGACTTTCACTCTTTGTTTGTCAGGCTGGAGTGCAGTGGCGAGATCTCAGCTCTCTGCAGTCTCTGCCTCCCTGGTTCAAGCAGTTCTGTCTCAACCTCCCAAGTAGCTGGGATTACAGGCACCTGCCACCATGCTCAGCTAATTTTTGTATTCTTTAGTAGAGACGGGGTTTCATCATGTTGGCCAGGCTTGTCTGGAACTCCTGACCTCAGGTGATCCTCTTGCCTCGGCCTCCCAAAGTGCTGGGATTATAGGCGTGAGCCACCGAACCCAGGCTTAACTTTTATTTTAAATTCATGCTTAGATGTACAGGTTTGCTACATAGGCAAACTTGTGTCATGGGGGTTTGTTGTATAAATTATTTCATCATCCAGGTATTAAGCCTAGTACCCATTAGTTATTTTTCCTGATCCTCTCCCTGCTCCCACCCTCCACCCTCAGACCCAGTGTGTGTTATTCCCCTCTATATGTCCATGTGTTCTCATCATGCTGCCTCCACTTAAAAGTGAGGATACATGATACTTGGTTTTCTGGTCCTGTGTTAGTTTGCTAAAGATAATGGCTTCCAGCTTCATCCATGTCTCTGCAAAGCACATGATCTTATTCTTCTTTATCGCTGCATAGTATTCCATGGTGTGTATCAAGGAAATGTACCACATTTTCTTTATGCAGTCCGCTGTTGGGGGTCATTTCAGTTGCTTTTATGTGTTTGCTGTTGTGAAAAGTGCTGCAGTGAACATACGCATGCGTGTGTCTTTATGCTAGAACAATTTATTTTCCTTTGGGTATATACCCAGTAATAGGATTGCTGGATGGAATGGTATTTCATTCAGTTTTTAGGTCTTAGAGGAATCTCCACACTCTCTTCCACAATGGTTGAACTAACTTGCACTCCCTCCAGCAGTGTAAAAGCATTCCTTTTCTTCACAGCCTCCCTGGTATCTGTTGGTTTTTGACCTGTTATTAATAGCCATTCTGACTGGTGTGAGATGGTATGTTATTGTGGGTTTGATTTGCATTTTGCTAATGATCAGTGATGCTGAGCATTTTTTCATATGCTTGTTAGCTGCTACATGTATTTTCTTTTTTCTGTGTTTTATTTTTTCTTTTGTTGTTGTTATTGTTGGCTGCATGTATGTTTTTTGTTTTTTGTTTTTAGATGGAGTCTCCTTCTGTCACCCATGCTGGAGTGCAATGGCATGATCTCAACTCACTGCAACCTCCTCCTTCTGGGTTCAAGCAATTTCTTCTGCCTCACTCAGCCTCCAGAGTAACTGGGATTACAGGTGTGTGCCACCACACCAGGCTAATTGTTTTGTATTTTTAGTAGGGACGGGGTTCACCATGTTGGCCAGACGGGCCTTGAACTCCTGACCTCAGGTGATCCACCCACCTCAGCTTCCCAAAGAGCTGGGATTACAGGTGTGAGCCATTGGGCTGGGCCATATGTCTTCTTTTGAAAAGTGTCTGTTCATGTCCTTTGCCTACTTTTTAATGGGGTTGTTTTATTATTGTAAATTTGTGTAAGTTCCTTACAGATGTTGGATATTAGACCCTGGTCAGGTGCATAGCTTGCAAAAAAAAAATCTCACATTCTGGTACAGTTGTCTATTCACTGTGTTGATAGTTTCTTTTGCTATGTGGAAGCTTTTTGTTGTAATTAGAGCCCATTTGTCAGTTTTCACTTTTGTTGCAATTGCCTCTGGTGTCTTCATCATGAAATCTTTGCCCATTTGTATGTCCAGAATGGTATTGCCTAGATTGTCTTCCAGGTGTTTTATAGTTAGGGGTTTCTCATGTAAATCTTTAATTCATCTCGAGTTAATTTTTGTGTGTGGTGTAAGGAAGATGTCCAGATTCAATCTTCTGCATGTGGCTAGCCAGTTATTCCAGCATCGTTTATTAAACAGGGAGTGTTTTCTCCATTGCTTATTTATGTTGGCCTTATCGAAGATCAGATAGTTGCAGGTGTGTGGCCTAATTTCTGGGTTCTCTATTCTGTTCCATTGCTATCACAGACCAGAAGTTTTAACTTGACAAAGTTTCATTTATTCTCTTTTATCATGCTTTTGGTGCTGTATCTATGAACTTTTTGGTGTGCCTGAGTTCCCAATTATTTTACAGTTTTTTGTTTGTTTGTTTGTTTGTTTTTGTTTTGAGATGGAGTCTCTCTCTGTTGCCAAGGCTGGAGTACAGTGGTGCAATCTTGGCTCATTGCAACCCCTGTCTTCTGGGTTCAAGCAATTCCCTTCCTTCAGCCACCTGAGTAGCTGAGACTCCAGGCGTGTGCCACCAAGCCCAGCTAATTTTTTGTATTTTTAGTAGAGAAGGGACTTCACTGTGTTAGCCAGGATGGTTTCGATCTCCTGACCTGAAAATCTGCCTGCCTTGGCCTCTCAAAGTGTGGAGATTACAGGCATGAGCCACCGCGCCTGGCCTTACAGTATGTTTTCTAATTCTTGATAGATTACCATTTTATAATATCATTATTTTGCATTTAAAGATATGATCCTTTTTGAAAGAGTGTAAAATTTAAGTGCAAATTCACCTTTTTTCACCTGTGGATATTCATTTGGTCCAGCACCATTATTTGAAAGTCCTTCTTTCAATTGCTTTGGTATCTTCATCAAATATCAGTTTAAAGTACATGCATGTGGAGGATAGTTCTGCATTTTCTATTCTGTTCCATGGATAT